TCACATGTGGAGTACCTGTTGTGTCTAGAGATACCTGGCCAGATGCATCAATACAACACGTGGTCTTTTCTATCCTCAGTCTCGCTTTCACTACAGAGGCTTTCAAATACTGAAAGCTTCTAGAAATGTGCATCTGACTGCAAATGCAAATAAAGTACAATTAAATGTGGCACAAAAGCAGCCAGAAACCCTTTCGGCAACTCAAAACTTTAAACAGCATCATCTATAATATGGATACAGAAATGTGTACTAACGAGAGCTTACACAGTCAATAAATGTCATTCCAAAAGGATGCAGCTGCTTGCACTGATTCTGCGCTTCATTAACTGCATTTCCACCCACCTGTTTGTGTAACACAGAGTTAAAATAGCACCTTCAAAGTGCGAAGCTGAGAGTTGGTGAATCAGAAAATGTGACAAAGAGCAACGGAAACAAACTGTACATAAAGTGATACAGCGAGACAAAAAAATAGAGAATAAACTCAAATATATGTGAAGCAACGAGCTCCTCAGATTAATACAAGAAACACACAAAAGAATGCAACAAATCCTGGCTTTCTATCGCTTTGGGGTTGACTGGTTTTGCCGTTGTAATGTTAAAAATGTTAATTTAGTAGCGTGTCTGCCTCAAAATTCAACTCACTAAATAATTGACCACTAAAAGAACTTGGAGTTGCATTTGTGTCAGCGATCATTTTCCACTTATGCAACGCCAGGTCATTTTGGACGCAGGCTAGCAGGATATTGGAGGCATCCTTCTCCCCAGCAAAACTTTCCACTTCCTCCCAGGTGATTCTGAAGCGTTCCGAGGCCAGATAAATAATAAAGTCTCCAGTCGGCTGTTCATGGAAAACCTTCAAGTCACCCATGAGGCACCCATGAGGCACCCTGACCCAATGCCCACATCACCTCAGCTGGCTCCCGTTGGCATGAAGAAGCGGCTGGAAAACTGTATACAATGAATTTCTCATTATGCAGGACAAGGGAACATAGTGCTGTGAACACCTCACAGTGTATGGTCACTGTTAACCATTGAGGAACAAATAACAGTGTGGAAGTCTGAGCTAGCAGCTATAATGTGGTGACCGTCTGATTGTTTTAATTAGCTCCTTTGGCGTGCTTTATCCAGTTTAAAGCCAACATGCTTCCAGCTTCATCCCAGACTGGTGACCTATCCAGGGTGTATCCTGTTTATCATCCCCCACTTATCCAATTCAGCAACCCTGAACTGGATAAGAGGAAGAAAATGGATGAATAAAACCAGTATAATCCCATCTGTGAGGAGTTCATAAAATCAGTCGGAAATATTGGACTAATTGTGGTTATTTGGAAATTCTGAAAAGTTTAAAGTAAAACTTATTAATCAATCAATTGAAACAGAATAAAATCCCTGCTTTAGTATAATAAAATACCCACAATGTGTTTTTTATTATTATTAGCATTTTGTTTCTTTTTAACACTATTATTAGTATACACGATGCATTAAAAAACGAATGTTATTTAATAAAAATACATAAAATATAAACAGAGATTTAGATGCTGACACACTTTGCATAAAAAAATAAGTACTGCAGGTTAATACCAGCTGGCAGAGAGTGGCAGGATGACTAATAAACTCTATGAGAGAGGATGAACTGAGGGTGATCAGCATACTTTAACTGAGAACTGTAAGCTAACACGCAGCCCACTTCTTCTCAATATGGAGAAGCTACGACCCATCAACGCGCCTGTTGAAGTGGGGGCGGATAGTGTGCGCGAGTGCTGGCATCAGAGGGTGAAGCAGCGAGAGGGAACAGATAGAGAGTAGATAATAGCTTTCATGACATCAAGATCTCCTTCAGAATAGCAACAACAAGGCGCTGTGAGCCATGAATCAAAACTGAGACACTCAAATGGAAAGCAATTAGCCCCCTGCTAGTGAAGTGGACCGCAGTCAAACAGAAGCAGTAGCCATGCTGACTAAATCAGAGAGAAACGCTGCAGAGGTGTGAACAAAAAGTCAATCAACAGGTTTTTTTAAGAGATTTAAAAAAGCCCCGAGACACATGTCAACAGGGCTCGTATCGCTGGCCTTGTCGACAGACGTGGGCAGATACTGGATGCTTTTTCCTGTTTTTTGGTGTTATGTTCATTAGTAATGCAATGACGACTTTAAAATGGTCAGTTATGGTTACAAAAAGGACTCCTGTGTGCTAATAAATGCCAAAACCAAGCTGAACCCCCCCCCCAAATAAACACTGATTTATGACCAGAATTTCACCAGTGGTACACATCTGGCAATACAAAAAAAAAAATCACAAATAAGTCCAGCTACTCTGAATGTCCCAATTAAAATTGAAATACAGCACGAGGCAAAATTCCCACCATCTGAGCTGGAGCTGTGCAGACTCTAAGGCAGTGGAGTTATGCTTTTATTTGGTCCAGATTTACGTTTTCTATCGAGCAGCTACAGAAAGCAAAAATGATTTCTGTCTGGTGTTTGTTTCAAGGTCAAAAACTGCAGCTCCCCAAGTAACTGCCTCCTCTGCTCTTACGCTAGTATTTTCTTTCTTTGCTTTTTTCTCCTTTTTGCGTTGCATCTTTGATTGTGCTTGTGCCAGCGTGCAGCCTGTCAGGAGCTATCAGAGGGGCCGTCTTGGCCGCGGTGGCGTGACTAAGCTGGGTTCAGGGCCCTCGAGGTTTTCACCGGGCGCTCTTCTTGCTGAGCGGTGACACATGTGTTGTGACAGGGAAGCTGCATTATGGACTATCTGGGGACGGCTTGTTGTGGCTGTGAGGGTTCACGGGCCGGGGTTGTGTGTGAGTACGTCACTGCCGATGCTCCCAGAGGTGGACATGCCGCACATTAAAGACAAGCAAGGGCATCGTGTGTGTTTGTGTACAAAAAACAAAAGAAGGAAAAGCCACCACATTGTCAGATGACAGTATAACAAATCCACTTTGCTTCTTCCTTCTGAACCTGTGCATGAAACCAAAGGTGATTTTTTTTTTAAGCTAATAAAAAAATGGGAGTGAAATCCTCCAAGACTGCACATGTGTTAGCAGTTATGATAAGTGATTAACTACTTTTCCTTTCTGGAATGTGAGGCATTTTGAAGCAGTGTTTGTACATGTTGCATTAATTCTGTCAGGTCTAAATTCACCCCAGACACCCACACTAAAGCACTGAAAGAAACCTTTGAGAAAATTCCTCTTGAGCCGCAGGATCTCGAGCTGTAAATACTGCCCGTGAGCTCCTTGCTATAAGCGAGAGCCGTGTCACACCTTCCTCTATTTTTACACTTAATTGTGCAGAAACAAACTTGCGTTATCCTTTCCTCTGAAGTTGCTCTCCGTCCTTGTGTGTCATTCTGGAGCACAAAGGAGCATTCATGATGGGAAAGCTGTGCCTGAGGGGGGGGAGGAAAAAAAAAAAGTCTGGGGCTACACCCTGCGGTCCTGACACACACACAAAAACACTCACTAAAGCAGCTCAACTTGTCTTGGCTGAGACCTTTTACACAAAACAGAGCAGGGAAAGAGAGGGACAAAGGGGATGATGTGAAGCCAGCCAGCTATCATCACCACTGACGTCCCTTCAGCATTATTTTTCCAGACTTTCCTTTGCAGTGGAGTCTCTATAATCCACTACATCTATCCTTTTTCTGCTTTTCTGCCTAATTACATACCAGTGCAGGTTTGGTTATGAGCCGCACACTTGTTAATTTTATGCTTGGCACCAGTGCGCTGAATCTCCTTAAGCGTACACTACATGTCTGCTAAGAGCCATGTTTTGCAATGCTGCTCCAGATGTGAGTCTCTGCGCCCCACTGAGGGAGATGAATAGCTGGGGGGGCTGCAGGCTACCTACAGGTTCACATCCTTAATGAGCAGAAGAGTCTGCTGAGAGCGAGATATGATTGATAGCTCAGCAACAGAACTGAAAGGGGGAAATCACAGTGAGGCTTTTGATAAAGACGGTGGGGTGGAGGGGCTCTGGCAGGCGGCAAAGAGAAGGGATCTGGCATCGGACTTGCCCGAGCTGGATGCCAAGAAGCCGTCCACCGTGCTGCAGAAGCCCTGACGCTTCCTCTTGTTACAACGCCTCTCGTCTGTACTGTCTGACCTGGATGTTTCTCCCTGTTGCGTGCTTCACTATATTCCACATAGCACTTTTCACCCCCCTCCAAGGGAAACAAATAGCAAAGGTGGAATTCCTGGCAAGTGACTCCGGATGTTGTTGGCAGCGAGAGGAGGTGAAGCGCATCCAACACTATTACCAGCCGGCTGCACTCGAAGCCTTTATTTCACCAAAACAGCAGATACAGAAAGAGATGATGTTTATTTATTGCCTTCACTCCATTACGCATGCCAGGCTGGAATTTTTTAATCCCATCTGGGGCTAACAGGGTGTTAATAGTCCACCCTGGGAGCAGTGGATGCTTGTGACTCTAAGCCCGAGAAAGCACAGAAATGACATCAAGGAGACAACAGAAGATCAGGATTGAGCTAAATCGCCTAAAAGCCTGTCCTTTCAGAAGGCAGCAGTAATACAGGCAACCGCCACTTCAGGATTTGCAGCCAAGAGCAGTCGCCACAAAAATAATGAAGTGAGGCTGGATGGGTGCCAGGAGGGTGGCTGGTTATGTCAGCCTGCGTAATGTGTAGGACCTGGGTGTCTGTCATGTCAAACCAGTGAGCTATTGAGCGCCCCGATTCTCATTAGTCCCGCAGGTAGCAAGATCTAAATCAGGTTTATCCAACAGTTTACTCAGGTCGGTAAAATCAGGAGGACGCACAAAAACAGTTTCAATAAACATTTTCCATTCACAACTTAACATGTAGCACATTAAAACAAAATCATAAGCTACTGTTTAACAAGCAGACTGAAAACAAGGACCGCGCAGTGATTCAAAAACGAACCGAGACCATTTACTACTTCATTTTAATAGCCTACTTTTACTTTCCAGCGCCGGGATCCTGAGCACGTTCACACATTAGAGCGAGCAGATATGATCTTACCTGACTTGAATTGTTTGGACCTCGTCCTCGGCTCCACACTTGCTTTGTGGTAACGGCAGGAATCCAAGGTGCGTTAATGAAAAACGAAAAAACAACAACAACCAACTACTAAATAAATACTACCGCGTCCTCCGGCGGCTCTGCCTCGGTCTAATTTTAGACTCCTGGCAGACACGCGAGGCGCACAGGCGGGTTTAAATACTACTTGTGTAATTACCAGTTAATTAGCGACTTGTCTACATACTAATCAGTGAGCGCGCGCCGTTTTTCTTACTGCACCCGCGCGTTTTTCTAGACTGCAAAGGTTGACAGATGCTGCAGCTGTTTAATTTGATGTTTTCTTGTCTTCTCTTCGGCGGAGGGATAAAGGCGAGCCCCAGCGCTGTCTGTGGTAGTCCATTCACGGTGCTTCTCCGCGCAGAGGGTCCCGAGCTGCTCCCGTCGGTTGACAGTTAATATGAACGTGCGGCGGAGAGAAAACAACAGCAGCAGCGCCGCAGCTCCATCCCGACCAGTACTGCTGAGGAGTTCACGGCCTGCTCGGAACTTCCCCCACTCTCCCGTTCTGAGTGACTTATCGCGCCCGCGTTATTGTATGTCGATTAATTTTATATTATTTTTGCAAAAAGCACCCGCAGAAGAGCGTTTTTATTAACACGTGATAGGTTGTTATGTGGGGGATCCCTGGGTACAAATTAAAAGTCAGCCAATTCCAATGTCATGTCCACGTGGTCGAGACGACCTGCCGAAGTTCAAAGCCACCATCAGAATGAGGAAGAAAGGTAATTTAAGTGAGTTTGAAGGTGGCGTGGTTGTTTGTGCCAGATGGGCTGGTCTGAGTGTTTCAGAAACTGCTGATCTACTGTAATTTCCCAACACGGTCATCTCTAAGGTTTTCAGAAAACGGTCAGAGAAAGAGAAAACATCCAGTGAGCAGCAGTTCTCTGGAAGATACCAAAGGTTACAGGAAAATGGCCAGATTGCTTTGAGCTGCTAGGAAGGCAACAGCAACTCAGATAACCACAAGTTACAACAAAGTTATGCAGAAGAGCATCTCTGAACACATAACACATCCTAAAACATTGAAGCGGCTGCACTAGAGCTGCAGAAGAGCACACTAGGTGTCACCTGCCAGCACAGAACACAGCAGAAGCACAGCTGCAGCTTTGTGATGCTATCGTGGGAACATGGACCAAAGTCTGAGAGGAACGTTTCCAGAACTTTGTTGAATCCATGCTATGAAGAATTAAGACCGTTGTAAAGGCAGAACCAAAACTATAAAGTATCTGTTATTAAGTGGAAAATGAAACAGCTTGTGCTTTTTTTTAATTGTTTTTCATCAGGATTATGTGTAGCTACTGTTGCTGTTTATTCCTCGTCTCAGTCCTTTTACTCCATCAGTATATGGGATGACACGAAAATATAAATATGCAAATACTTTTGGTAATAAAAATAGATTTCACGTGCTGCTTTCTGTGCCCAGAATGCTCATTGGATAATCTGACCAGTGTAAGACAGACACATGGGTAAAATTCTGTAACATGTTGTAATAAAGTACAAATACTGTCCAAGGATGCCGGTGTCCCAAGTTCCTTTTCTTAGTTCCTTCAATAAACAAATACGTCATTGAAAAATATTGTGAATTTAAAAAATATATATATGTATTTTTTTTGCATGGCTTTTGTTTTTCAGAGGATAAGGTAGAAGAAGATATTAGCTAATTATTGTGCAAGTTAGAGACTAGTTTCTAAACAATCATTACTTTCCTTATAAGTATATTGTATGTAGCATAAACATCCACCTTGGCCCCAATAATCCAGCATCCCTCAGGCTCAAATTTAAACCTGTTAATCAGTAGTTGAGAATAATTTGAATCCAAGTTGCAGACAATGGGTATTGCTTAATCTACTTAATATTTTCTTTATTAACCACTTTACATAATCCCCTGGTCTCTAAAAAGCGTGTACTTCGGCTTTTGCCTGGAGCCATCAAATGTTGGTATTCTGCAGACACTCTGTAGGGCTGTTGATGCTCGCTGGAGAAATGAAATCACCTCAGTGTTTGGATTATAGTTAATGAAGCCAAGTGCTGCAGCAGTGTGCGTGCCTTTTTGTAAGTTTGGATGCTTTCGTTCATATCTGCCTGAAGAACTACTTTCTCTTCTACTTACTAAAATCTCCTTCAGCTTCAGTTAAGTTTAACTAATGTCAGTAAATTAATGCCTCTTTTGTTTGTTTTGCAGGACTACTTATTGCTCAGCCATCCTGGCAGTTGCTTATTGTTTTTATTGGCTACACCATTGACTTCATTTACTTTCTCAAACGTCCACGTGCCCTCTGGCTGTAATAATATAATTTCCGACAGCACCTGAAGGATTCTAACAGCTTTTTTTTTTTTTCAGACAGGTTGTGTGTTGGAAGATCTGCTCTGCAGGGATGTGACCGACAAAGAGAGGGGAGGGAGCAAACCCCTCTCATCTGTTATGCATTTCCCCTTTGATTCCACAGCAGCCACTGAATCTTATTTTCCAGTGTTTCTCCCTGAGAGCACTTTGTTCTGCGTTCAGCTGTGGAACGTGTCGGGGAACACAGTTAATTGTGAAAACCTTGTATCTCTGATCTTGTTTTCTCTCTCTTTACCTTCTTTTCATATGTAGCTCAAACTACTGCTGGGTGTCAGGATCACACAAAGCAGAGGTGTCACTTCACCACAGCAAAGTCCCCGACAAGAGGGGGGGGAGGGCTGACAGCTTTAAAGTTGTCTGTCTGTGCAATAAAAATGAAGCTGGAATTAATTACACTCTTGTACAACAAGTGCAAACATATTTAGGTGTAGAGTAACAGATATCCACCTAAAGATGTGTTTTGTTTTTCTTAACGTTCCATTTCTGTGCCATTTTTAGGATTTCTGCAACAGAGAGGTATTTAGATGTACACTCGGGTGTAGCTATGATATCTTTGCCTGTGGGGCAGAAACGTTCATCAAAAGATGCCACTGTACAAGTGAGCCCCTCTCAGCATGAGCTGCAGGCAGTCTGATTTCGAGAAACAACACCGCCACGCTTATTTTGAATTCATGCAAATTTCGGTGGTTTACATTTAACGGAGGAGAGTTAAAGTTTATAAAGTAAGTGAAGTTCAAACATTGACAAAAAAAAAAAAAAAAAAAAAAAAACAGGATGCAATGGTTGCTCCACCTGTTGGTTATTTTGTGGAAATGCAATATAAGGCAAATTTTAGGACATTGATTCAAATGCAACACACAATTCAATAAAAAAAAAAACCCTGATGATGTTTCTTTGTTTTTTTTTCTTTTTTAAACAATATCATCACATAGAAATTCTCTATCAGAAGTCAATTAATAAGACAGTTTACAAATCAAAGTCAGTCCAAAGTACAGGAGAAAAATACATTTACAGATACGTTAAGACACTGTAACACAAGGTTGCTGAGTGAAAAACAGTAAGGCACCGATGCCTCTGTGGCATAGGTAGTGTCTAAAAAATAAAATAAAATCACAAATTAAAACCAGCCTTAAAAACCAGAAAATTCTTAAAATCTTGTAAATTAAACGAAAGCGTAAGAAACGATGCAGCAAACGTACAAGTCTGAACACGTAATTAGTGGAACACAGCCTGTGAAAGATTAACACATTCAGAGCTCGTCAAAGGGATGTTAAACAGGTTTCTGTCGTTTGGTACGGAAGCAAAAGAAGACCAGCAGAGTTTAAATGTGTACACTGCACTGAATTTAAATGTACAGAGATCTGTTTTTAATTCCCTGATTGGAAATTTTACTTCTGTTTTTGTAAACAGACCACATTAAACAGAAAATTCATGTGTCAAAAGTTTGAAGAAGTAAAGATGAACAACAGCAAACGACCCTGAACTAACCTAAAACTTTAAATTCTGCATTTTAAAATGACTTTCAAGTATATTCACTTGTTTCTAAAGCACTTCATGGTCTCACATGCTGGCAGCAGATGAAGTAGTTGGCCCTCGGGTCCTTGAGCAGCTGCTTGAGGACAAAAATGTTTGTTTCAGTTGATGAAATTAGTAGATTCTCTTTCCTAAAAAAAAACCCAAAATGCACTGCTCTATTGCAGAGGAGTCAAATTATTGCCCTCCAACAAGCAAGGAAAACAACTTTGAAGAAGCTGAAAGTACTAAAGCCGGGTTAAGAAATGTACAACACATTATTGAAATCTGGAAAGAAAAAAAAAACTTGACTGATCATGATCACAATCACTTAAAAACTTGGTGAAATCAGATTCGACCACAGTCATCATAGATATGAAATTAAGAGAACTACACAGCTGTGTAGTCTTAAGAAAACCACTTATCTGTGTGGCTAATCAGAAAAAATGGGCTGCACGTTGCTGGGATCATAAGGACTGGACTCTGGGGCAATGGTAAAAGGTCATGTGGTCCAGATTTACCTTGCTCTAGACTTATGGCTAACTAACGAGGGATGGATGAAGTCATGCGCCCATCATGCCTCGTACCTGCTGGGCAAGCCTTAGGTTCAGCAAATTTTACGTTTAAAAAAAATGAGGTTAGCTGACTTCCTGAATATACTGGTACATATATATGCTGATATACTCACAGCTTTAACATAGTGAATGACCAGGTTTTTCCATCAATGGATGTTTTTCTCCCCTGATGTCACGGGCATATTCAAAGATGACCATGGCAGGCTTCATTGGGCTCGGATTTCGAAAGAGGGGCTCAGGGAGAAAACTTGTGACTTGGTTTTCACATACATATCGACCACAACAGAGTCCAGATCTTAAGGCCACTGAGAATATTTGGGATTTCTGCCTCTCCCATTGTCAAACAAGATAATAGTGAGAAATGAATGCAGTTCTAGATGGAAAAAAATGCTGGATAAATTTATCAAAATGATCCCACGTTGAATGCTGTCATCAGAGCTAAAGGCAGTCCAGATTGTATGATGTTGTTCCTTTTGTGATAGTATTGCTTTCTGGTTTTTGCAAACTCTAAAAACACTTTAACAACATTTCTGAAGTGTTACAACGTGAAAGCATTTTCATTTTTTCAAATCTATAAACGTAACAGTATCTAGAAGTCAAATGTTTTGGTCTTCTTTTGCTTCCGTATTTGGAGGGAACATGAATCATGGATCAAGTGTTACGGATAACATTTCCAGTTGGTTTTCAGGTACTAATTCTCTCCAGCATAATTATATTTTCAGAGAAGAGGATTTTTTTCCCAGCAGTGTTAATATTTTTCATCTGTTACTTTACTGATAATAATATTGTAATATTATTAACTATGGGGCCTGTGATCCCACTTTAATATATCCCTGCACGTCTTCTGTTGAATTCCACCCCCCCCTTTTTCTCCCCCCCACAGGTAATCAAATATCACACTATACAAATTCACTCAAAGGCTCCAGGCTGATCCTATAAAATAAAAACCTTTTGGATTCAGATTACAGGTGCATCTCTACACTTCCAAATGAGCTTTGGTCTTTCGCATTGTGTGTTTCACTGTTGTGCTGTAAAGGCTGTGCTTCTGTTTCAAGCTGTTAGAAAGCATCAAAGCTGAGAAGTCTTGACAGATTGCTTTGAGATGAACTCAGCCGGTCTCCATCACACCCCTCTCTGGTTTTAGAAAAGGGAACGTAAATAAGACCTGAGCTATAAGACGTGTGTTGCTTCCCCCACGTAAACAAACTGAATCATAAAGACTAGCAATTCAAACAGTATTGCTCACGGAGTCGGTTAATATTTGATTCACTAATAACTGGCTTGACACATTTTCTTCTCCCGGCTGCTGATACAAAAATAGATAAAACAGTTACTAATATAAAGCATATGTCAGACAATCAGGACTTGGCTTGTTTTCTTCTAATAACCAGTAATTGAAATCAGAAAAGGTTACACCCAACAAGAAAATGCAACAACTCTACCTACATCACAGCCCCCTCCCACGCCCCCTTTACTGTACCTTCTCCAGTCAACACACACACACGCACACACACACTTGGTAAACACTGCACAAAGCTACCTTTCACCACAACCACAGGCACAGTAAAGAGTATATATATATTTTTTATCTGTATATGAAACGCAAAGATAAAGCGGCTGCAGCTAAAAAGCCCGTAGACAGTCTGCAGGGTTGTCGGTGCTCGCTGCCGTAATGAAATCGCCTCAAAAGTTTGAATTCCCTCCAGCGAGGCTGAGTGGTGCTGCACTGTGTGTGCTTTCTGTAAGTGTGGATGCAGGTCTGTGTGCTCTCAGGGTGTGTCTGTGTTTTGAACTCTTTAAGAAGTTGATGAACTGACTAAAAACCATAAGGCAAGGGCTTCTGTGTAGACACCCACAGCTCTCTTATAGCACCAGAGCAGGTTAGAAAAAGGTAACAAGTAGGATTTAGTCTCACCTGTTAGCTGTGATTTAATGAGCCGTTTATATTCAAAAAGGTGTCGGAAATTTCTTTAAAGAATCGTGACATTGCGTGTAACCTTCGAATGAAAAGTCATGTTCACAAAACCATCTAACTAACCTACATATAGCATATCCCAGTCAGTCAATGTGTCCTCCAACTGGTGTTTTCTATAAATATTCGACAATCTGAAACACTCATTTCTTCTTCATGATCACTATTGAATGTCATCTCGACACAAACCCTGGCAGTGATGTCAGGGCGTGTCTGACACCTTCTATTATTCTTCACATTTATTTATTCTACTTAAGCTTGAGAAGCTATGCTTGTAACTCAGTAGTGTCGGCAGAGAGGAATTCATTAAAGTGTAATAATTCTCACTCAATCTACAGCCATGAAAAAGAAAGTATCAATTCTAAGGTTTTACTTATCAGGACAAAATAAATGTGGTCGGTAACAGAGGGGCGTACTAAAAACTGTTCACCTGACGATGTACTTTTAAGACCAGCTAAGTCCTAGATTATTTTTAACATTTTTTCCTGATACATAAAAACCTTAGAATTGACTTTGTTTTTCTTATGACTGCCTTATACCCTCCCACCACCCTGAATGAAACTGCACAGGTTACAATGCAGCGTGATGAAATAAACTTTGGTAAAGGACATTTAAAATTGAAAAAGTCCGTATATTCACTTTATAATTGTCCCATTTATGGTTACCCTGGACGGAGCATGTGGCATGCATGTTTCTAAAATGATGTGATAGTGATTAAAGCTGCAGTCAGAAGAAAGGTGAACAAACAAAATAAGAAAATGAAAAGTCCTCTTCCTCTTGTGCTCCCTTCTCTGTTCTAAACATCCACTAAAATATAATTTCTGATTTAAGACATGATCGTTACCAATCAGCTGGTCACATCTGATAAAAAGACCTGCCAGTGCAAAGTCTCCGGTCACAGTCCAGATCTTCTAAAGCCTGAAGACAGAGGGAAGGTGAACTGTAGGAGGTTAAATGTCATTTTTTGGTCCAAAGAGAAAGAGTCAGTGCAGTTAGCATGACCAGTAATGGTAGCTCTGTGTATCCACACCTCCGACTCACACATCAGACATCTGGAGAAGTTCTATGGACTATGTAAAAGATGGACACCATAAAGGCGTTCATTGGTTTGGACTCAGTATTTTTGCTATACTAGGTTTTTGGACCCAGAATTAATGATATGTAGACAAAAGAGTGGAGTGAGAGATTTCTTGGATGGTTTGTACCACACAGCAAGCTCTTTTATGTGTTAGACAATTCTATTAGAGGTGCTCCAAACAGCATAAACACAGTGGAGAGATCCAGTTCAGTGACTCCAATTAGTAGAGAATGGGCTTAGCTGATGGACCATAAACAGACTATAAACATTTTAATGATTTTAATGCTTTACATTGGGCATTTTAAAGTGGGAGTCTATGGGGACTGACTCACGTTTGGAACCAACCTCAAATGGTTTTTGCGCTTACACACTGGTGTCTCTTTTTTTCTTTTAGCTTTGGAAGTTCCTGTTTGCTGTTAGACCGGCCTTTTGCTTCTTTGTTTACAGGTCCTTATCCATGGCTCCTTATCTCTTCTAATTGCTTTATCTTTTTTGATTTACCATTAATGCATTCTGACTGAGTTAAATGTTTTGCTGTTGCTGTTTGGATTGTCACTCTTTGTTATATCCTAAACAAGCTAAGGCTTGCACTTTGAGGTACATGAACCTCATTCCCAATGTAAGAACTAGGATTTTATGGAAGTTCCATGGTGACTAGTTTTACCTCCCCCATGAGTCCCTTTTTACTATCTATGACTGAATGGGTTCTCAGTCATCTAATGGTAATCTAAAGTGTTTGAACTGAAGGCAGCTGCACTCGCTTTAGGTTCCTGAAGAGGTTTTACTTTTCATTCAGAAGATTGTTTTCAGTTCTAAAGACTGATTCGGAGTGCTGTCTAGTGCGCCACCTAAGATCATGAGTTATGCTTACGTAAGTAGAGGCGTGAATCCAAAATCTGAACATTTGTATTTTACAGTCTCTTCTTCTTTAGGTGCAAATAACCCTTTCAGGTGAGAGGTGACGATGTCTTCAAAAACCTAAAAGGAGTCCAGCTGCCTTTGACTGAAGCACTTCAGATTGCTTGTAGTATTTTAAAGAAGTACAGGAACCTTCAAGTGGGTCTTGCAGTTAAGAAGCTTTTTTCCTTTTTAATTATTTTACAGTCCCTATTTTACACCATTGTAGAACTGCCATTTTAAAATCTGCCAAACTTTTTGTGCTTTTGAAGTCGATGGGGATGACACAATGGTAATGTCCAGCCTCGTTTGACATTTCCAGGTAAGAAGTTGTCTCTAGCTAAATTTTAAGGTAAGGATCTGCTAAGAGGTGGTCTGGAAAATATTTGTTAAAAAAATATAATTACAAAAATTAAAACCTTCTTTAGAAACTCCTACTTGTATTTCTGCGGCTGGAGGTGTGGGTACATATGGCTACCAGGTGTAATTTGCTCAATGATCTTTAGCCCCAGCTAAACCGGCTCAGCAGACAAAAAGATGCCATCTACAAAAACTTAAAGGTCATTACACGGCAGTATGTGGAAAATAGCATGTCTCATCATAAAACTAATTCATGACTGTTTAGTCAAACAGAGCCATGAAATCGCTTATGCCATGCCGAGCTGAGAAACTGAGTGCAGATGTGGTTGTGTTCCCGTCTCTTCATCACCACTGACGCTGGTTCATTGGACGGCATCGCACTCCCGCTTCCCAGTTGAACATTTCCATTTCCTGCCCATCTGGGACAACGACGGCGGCGGCGCCGTGTAGCTATGCCCGCGCGCCATCTTGCTGTGCCATTAAGATTCCAGCAAGCTGTGCCAGCGGCAAACCTGCTGTCCTTTAGACTCTTTCATCTGAGTCCAGTGGGTGAGCTCCTCCTCTCCAGAGCTGTTGAGGCCCAGCGAAATCCAACCAATCATCTCCTTGCGCTTCATGCTGCGCTTGTTGTAGACGGATAGGATGAGCGTGACGTCCGAGAGCTGGAAAAGAGCTACCTGGAAGACAAACGTCTCTTTGTAGGTTGGGTTGGGCTGACCTCGACAGATGGAGGTCTTACACTTGGACATCTCATGGCCCATGGAGTTAAGTAAGGTCAGCTTAACATATGTATCTAGAGAGGAAGCAGGTGGAGGAGAGAGTTACAAGGGAAATGATACATCTTTATATATATATTTTAAACCGTGAGATTCTACAATAGCTTTGTAGTAGTAAAAAAAAGGAAAGAAAATAATTCAGGCACCAGACTTAAATAATAGACCCTTTGTGCAAAATCCTTATGTTTCTTCACCTTTCCTCTTAGTAATCAGCCATGACGACCTGCTGCAGCTGTTTCCTCTGCAGCAAAGAATGACACATTTTCTCCACAAAGCATTCACTTCTGTAATAATGTCACAGCGGATGATATATAAGAGCATGACCACATAGGATGCGTTTTTTCTCCTGATCAAACACAAAGCACAGCTGTGAGCGCAGGGAGCGTTACTTCAGTCTTGTTGCTATGCGACTACTGATGTCTAATCTGAAATGGGGGATAATGCTGAAGATGAAAACTGACTGGAGAAAGTTAGTCATACGTTTGCTTGGGTTTGAAAGGATTAGGAGCTCCTTCTGAAACGAACCATGTAGCCAAAATTAATTAATTCTGGTTACGTGGTTCATCACAAATTACCATGAAGAGCTGCTATTATTTGACATAATGACTTATGCTAAAACTTTAGAGCCCAAGGCAGTCCCAAGACATGCTTTGTCCAAAATGTGACTCACATATTGTGCAGGATATACAGGTCTGCTGACACTAAATGAGAATCTGGGTGAGAGGTGTCAGAAACATAAGGGAAATACAAGACATTCGAAAAAGCCTTGAATAAAATCTATGGAGGAACTGCGTAACAGAAAAGAACCGGGAAAAATAAGAAGGTTAAGTTGTTGCACTGAGTGTTTTTCATGATTTATGAATTGAATGCCACTGCTCAGTTCATGGAGACTCCATTTGTTTCATGCATGTCTAAAAATTTGATTACTGCTTCCATTTAAAAACATTTCTTGCCAGCATTAAAGTGTTAATATGACCAATAGCTATATCATGTTCAGAGGGAAATAAAGAAAAATATAGATTTTATTTAGATTTTTTGGGTGTCATGCATTTGCCCTTATGACTTTGGCAATAGACACTTACTGTAACCCAGATTCACACTGGATTTATTTTTCTTTCACTATGCAAAGAGGTCTTCTTCAGTTTTCCCGTTAAGGTCTATTTCTCTCAAGCAGACTCTTTTCTGTGTATGGGCACACGCGTTTTTCTTTCATCATGCCAGAAACTTGTTCAGAAAAGCTTGAACTGACGTTGTTGTTAATTATATATCTGTAGAAAATCATTTTTTAAAATGTGTTTAGTATTGTTTTTCCATAAATTCCCAACTCCAGTGTGTCCAGGGCAGACCCAGAATGGTGAAACACTTCACTGGGAGGTATTCTATTCAAATGCCAGAAGTACCTCAGCTGGGTCTCTCAGTCTGTAGGAGTTGTGGTTCCACTTTGAGCTCCTTCTGAATGGCTGAGCGACTCCCCTGGCGAGCCCAAACACTCATGGGAGGAACTTCATTTCACCGCTTTTTTCTGCAAACGTATTCTTTCGGGCACTGCTCACAGTGTTTGGCTGTGAAGGTAGGAGGGACTGGTACAACTCCAAACTCAAAAAAAGTTGTGTCACTGTGTAAAATGCAAATACATTCAGAATTTGCTTTTCTCATAATCCCATATTTCATCCACAATAAAACAGAGAAAAACAGGTCATATATTTAAATTAAAACATTTTACTTTTTGACTCATTTTGAATTGTTTTGGCAGCAACATGTCTCGAAAACGTTTGGAAAAGTAAGTGATATTACAAAGAAACAGCTGGAAGATCATTTTGCAAATAAGTTCATTCGCAACAGTCAGTAGCATAAAAAGAGCATCTTAGAGAAGCAGAGTTTCTCAGAGGTAAATACAGGCAGAGGTTCACCAGACTGTCTGCAAACTGTGGAAGAATTTCAGAATACGCAAAATTCAAAACTGTCAACATGTTATAATCTATAGTACCAAATATCAAATGAAAGAATCTAGAGAAACCTTTGTGTGTGAGGGACACGACCAAAAATCTGTATTGGATGCCCTTGAAAAAGGCATGATTGCTTAATGGAAATCAGTGCATGGGCTTAGAAACATTTCCACAAATCACTGTCTGTGAACACAGTTCACTGTGCCATCCACAAATGCAGGTTAAGGCTCTGGACGCTGCAGCATTCTGACTACAGGGAAGAAGGAACATCCAGATTGTTATCAGCGCTGTTCAAAAGCCTGCATGCTTGATGCTATGGGGTGTATTAGTCCCTACGGACTTGGCTGCCTACAAATCTGATCGCATCTTTTTAAAGAGAGTTCTGCATCCATAACAACAGATCGGACACGGATGGGACAACCTTCCTCTCCCAGAAGCCCAGCAACTGGTGTCATGGGTTCCCACATGTTTACAGACTGGTGTTAAAATAACACAGTAGTAAACTTGATCTTGTCCCAACTTTTTTAATGCGTGTTGCTGCCATCAAGTATAAACTGTGCCAATATTTTCCTTAAAATAGTGAATTCTCTCTAAGTTTTGTTGTGAATAAAATAAGAGTTTATGAGACTTGCAAATTATTGCACTTTATTTTACACAGCTTCATTGAAATTTAGCTTGTAAATTGGCCGCTTCACCTTCACACTCGGCTCACTCTTCACCAGAGTGGCACATCGTCTGCATTGATGCATCAATCCTGCTAGCCTCCTGTTCCACTCCTCCCCAGCTCCTTATCAAGACCCAGAGGCAATTGAACGCGTCCACTTGAGGCGCAACTTGTTATCAAGACCCCGACGTACTTGAACTCCTCCAAGTGGGGCAGCAATTCATTTCCAACCTGGAGTGGGCAGTCCACCCTTGTCTGGCTGAGAACTGTGGCCTTAAATTTGGAGGCGCCAGTTCTCATTGCTCAAGGAAGCTTGCACAACCAAATGATCTGCAAAAAACCCTACTGCCCTCTGCCGCTGCACTAGAAACTCTTTAAATAATCTAATTTTTAATAATCTGATGAATAAAAATGATCATTTCATTTGTTAGTATTTATTTTAATAGTTGCGTTATGCAACTAATGCAAGCATGTTGCCAGGTTTTCATGCATATAGGGGCTTTTAATGTGAAACAGAACAGAAAAAGCACTTACTACTAGTACGACTGCTGGTGCATAATTGTAATATGTTATTATATGACGCTTTCAGATGAGATATGAAAAAACATATTTAGCTCAAGACCCTAGCAATCAAAGACAGAACATAATATATCGAGTCGGGATTAAAGTATCTAAGAATTCTGAGCTTAGAAGCACGACTTGTACCTCTGATACTCGCAGTTTGCGACATTTTCCACCTTTTATTACCCCGCTGATCACATTCCAAAAAACAAAATCCCGATAAAGCTCATTCATTTAGCCCAGAAGAGGAAAAAGCAAAAAGGAAAAACACTGCCATTATCAAGTGATTTCAGCATTCACGCTTTCCTTATTCACTCCTCATTTCAATGCAGAAATCATGGCACAAACTGAAGCCATAAATCCAGCGGAAAGTAAGCGAGGCAAGACTGGCAATCACAATGGATCTTTGAGAGTGTTTTGCCCCTCGTCTACAACCATACTCTGTAATAATGCTGTGTATTATGTTCCAGTCTAAGAGGGGTATAAGGAATGAATTGCTGAGGGTTTCATGCTGTCGAGTGCCAGCTGCCTTCCAACGCCTAGCTCACCGCCTTCAATCACACATTCAGTTGCTCTCTTTGACATAAAAGCAGAGTGAAAAAAATAGCCTTGATTTCTTTTTTGACTGCTGCTGAATGGGCTCTGTAGAGCTGTGGATGTCTTAAGTGGTCAGTAGCGGTGATGCATGGCTCTTTGGCATTGTTGCTGAATGAGAGGGGCTGCGGCTGATGATTAACTTGACTCGTCGGCTCGGTACTGTTTTGAAATGGCAGAAAAGAAGCTTTGAAATTGCTCCGCATCTTTCACCGTGCTCTTTCCACTTTGTAAGGACGCACAAAGTCAATCAAGGCCTTCGTGAGGATTTTGCACAAAGGTTTTTTTCAGTGTTGCCAGATGCGACTATTTTCCAAGTACAATTTGAAGACTATAAAGTATGTGGATATGCTATTCAAGAATGCACAAACAATATCAAAATCTGACAGCTAGTTATTAGTTAGAGACATTCACGAATACATGGAACATGGCAATTAATGGGAGGACAGTACAGTGTGGCTTTTAGATGAATATTTATGCAACTCTATTACAGAAGTCCTGTTTATGTTTCATATGCTGGAAGCAAAGCCGAAAAATGTAAAATGTGCAAAGCGTACTGTTCGAATTAGGCCAGCACTCAATGACAACATCTCCTTCTTGCTGGCTATCAGACACCAAGAAAACTAGACTGACATAGCATGAAAAAGGCTGAGTGAAAACACGAAGGACTTCCAGGCAACACAAGAAACGGGCAAAGGAGGCAGGAGGGGGTATCTCAGATGCATGCGTGATGTGATACGCATTCAGAAATACAGCAAGAAGACTTACAGTACAACAGCCGAGCATCTTCATGGATGAGAGTTAAAATGCAATAAGAGTCCTATGGTCCAAAGCTTACATGAATTTAAAGAAAGTCATATTTCAGGTTTTATGGGAAAAGCTTATCTTATCAAAACTGTTTCCAAGTGAGAATTTAGTTACATTTTTTTCAACTTATTTGGGATGGGTGCAAAGAGCTTGGGCTCCCAATATTGCATAAACAGTTGCTGTTATATGTAATTTACATTTTTATAGCAACAATTGTTTCATACTGTAAAACCTATAAATTACAGAGAGACAAAGTTAATCACAATTATCATGTGATCCAGTAAGAGTAAGCACTTGGCAACGGTGGGAGTGAAGAACTCCCTTTTAAGAGGAAGACATGAGGAAAACCAAGCTCAGGAAGCGGCAGCCATCTGATGCAACCGACTGGGGGATGAGGCGACATTGAGTCAATCCAACATACTACAGCATCAAATTAGATATATATTAATGATAGAAGCCAGTTAAATTAGTGTGTCTCCAATCAACAGCTATTCCATTTACTTAAATCTATTTGCATCCATGAAGATGTATTTAAAAAAAAAAAAAGGATGTGAAATTAACACTGATGACACTTTACAGGGAAGAACAGAAACTCACCTCTGATAATATAAACCTGTCCACCTATCAAGTGTTTTAGACAACAGAACAGTCCATCTGACAACAAGGGTTGGACAGCAGTAAGAAAAACAGCGGACCAAGATGTCAAAAAGGTAGTAGGGTGAGAGAGTTTCAGGTGCAGACATAACAGAAGATGCAAGGAAAGAGAAACAGGGTCAGAAGGCCAACAACAACAACATTTGCACAAAGTTCAACAAGAGGCAGTTTTTGTTTGAACTTGCTGCTCAGATCCCTGGAAGCTGACTGAGGAGGCTGACTGGGAAATGAGGGAAACCAGAGGAAAACTGAAAAGCAGGTGGTGGCCGAGATAGAGTACACTATCTCTGATTCGGAGAAGTTATACGCTGTGCATAGTCCCTCTCTGACTGGACGTAAGGAAGCGCATAGTATGTAAAATATATAGACTTTGACTACAGATGTTTACAGGAGATACAAACTCCTATGCACAGGCTCAACTTGTCCTCTTCCGCTCTAGCATTTGAAACATTAAAAGTGTTTTCCTGCTCTTTCTCGAACTGGACAACAAAACGTTTTAGGGTACTTACTGGGTGGTTTGTTAGCAGCCAGGTTTTTGAAGTGGATGCCTTTGATGACTTCCACAGAGAGACGTCCTGTTGTGGCGTTGTAAACCAGGCCCACGAGGATCTCCGGTGTGGAAGCCTGACTGACTGACTGGAATGACGAGGCGCTTTCACTGCATGTCATATCTGAGAGGCTGACCTGGGATTCGCCACCCTGAAAGAGTTGGCAAACATTCAGAACATTCTTAATATCAGTTTTTAATTGTTAAGGATTTTCCAAAACACAAATGAATTACAATTCAAACAGCAGTTCACTACACCCTCCCTTTACTGCTCTGTCCCAGCAGGACGTCAGACTCCTTACTTGGTCATTGTACTGAATTTTTCGCATTCATCGATCACGTCAAGTAATCACTCTCAGACAGACCGGTGAGGTACGCAAATAACTGCCATCTACTTTATAAACACAGACAGATTGCTAGCATGTTTCAATCAATCTCAGTCTGTCTGTGCCAATGAGCGCAACTCATCTGTAATCCAACACAGTTGTATTCTGGTTATATTCCTGAATAAAGGCAAAGCTGCCGAATACCTTAATGCCTATTTGATTTTGCAAATCACCGTCATGCAGTTACAATGTATCTAGTTTTCCGGTTTCAAATCTACGAGGTTCTGGCTTTGACTTCTTTTAATACACTACATACATGATGTATTTACTATCACAGAGTGTTGGTTTAGGCAAAATAGTGTCGTATAGTACACACTAAATAATGCTAGCCACTATAACTTGGATATAAAATATGGTGGTAGCCAGAGTGGGATTAATGATCTGTTACTGAAATCACACTCAGTGGATAACGGCTTAACCAGGATAATCCTACTTTTGAACACTAATAATAGTAACATTTACAAAATAAACTTTGCATTTGATTCATTATTACCTCAAACTGTTGACTGAGCTCTTAAAGTCATCAGAGAGTGAGGAAGCTGGACTAGGCCAGAAGCTGGCCATGGAGAAGAACCGTGAGGAAAATAAACCCGATTCAGGGAAGATTTTAATATGATATCTCCAAACAGATAGCTAACCCGCTAAAAAAGGAGCCTGTATTAGGCTGGGCAAGCTAACATTTGAAGGTTACGTAATGCACATCTTTTCTTTATACTTAAGGACTTGTTTTTTTGGATAGGCTAAAAATACTCTTTACATTTTTAGTTATCTTATGTTCAGTGAATTAAGCACTTAATGTTGCTGTATTGGGTTAATTCAGCACCTGGATATCTACATAAATAAAAAATATTGTTACTAAAGGGAAAGAAAACTAATATCTGACAGATTCAATGCAGGATAAATAGGTGCCTTTTATTAAGGCTGCCTTTCTTCTTTGTAGCCTTTGAAATAAAGTGAGCGAAAGGAAAAAAATAAGTAAACTGATTATTGTTTATTCCCTAAGATGAAATGGAGGCAGTGTCGCACTACCATCTACTCCTGAGAAGCATTAAAAGCCAACAAGCAAACAAAACAGGCAGTTCAGTAAGAATGATCTGCAAAATGTGATCTCAATCTGAAAATGTTGGATGAAAGACCAATCAACAAAGAGAAGTAATTAGTGAGGTGATGAGTGGCAGCTTGAAAGCCAACACCTGCTTTGATCATCTTACCGGGAGTGCACAGCATGGGTCTAATGTGACCGGCACCGACATTTTGCCCTGAAGGTTGAGCTTGGTGAGGTAGAACACCTTTTCCCCGAGCACCTTCTCCTTCTTCATTCGTCGCATGCTGTAAAGGCGAAATCTGATAGCATAATTGCTGATCATCTCTGACTCCACATGGCTGAAGCGGAAGGTCTCCGTGAAGATGGGGCACGGGCCTCTCTGGATCCCCGTCTTCGCCCTCTGTTTCTTGGTGGGCAGAAGCACCAGATGAACCTGCCAGGAGATGTTACCGGTGCGCTTGTAGCTGGGAAGGTCGGTTACTGCCATGATGGTTACAGACAGCTGCTGCTCCTCTGAGTCGTAGTCAAACACGATGTCGAGGGTCCCGTATTTTGCAACAGGATCTGGTTCATAACCTTTCGGTAGCTGGGCTGCTGATCCACGGGCTGACATATCCTACGGAAACCAATGAAATGTTCAGTGTTCAAAATAACACCTCAATCTAAAGTATCACTCTGATATTGCATGACTGGTATTTACCTCTGGGCTGAGGACAGCTGTACTGTCACTGGGCACGTCCTCCTCATAGCCCTTGTTGAGGTAACTCTCAGTCTCGGGGCCGTCGCTGCCCTCACTGGGACACTTGCCAAAAGAGAGGTGGGGGCTACCGCTGGTGTGGGACAGATCACACTTGGCATCACCCAGATCTGACAGCGTGCAGGACATCCTCGGAGAGCCATTCTCATCCTGATAGGGCGGTGGCTGAAGCTCATCCAGTGGCGGCGTCCGTCTCATCCTCTGGATGCAGTTGACTGGTTGGGAGGATATAAATAGATAAAATAACAAAATACAGACACATCATAACACATCATTTAATAGGAACCATTAAAGAAAGTAATTTGGTTGCACACATTTACAGCTTCATCAGTGCTTCACTGTAGCAGCAGGTGGTGATATTCTGTATTCTCATCATCATCAACAAACATCATAGCATCAAAAGACCAAAACGGTCTTAATGCCTTCCAACATACCCAGCTTGTCAATCCAATTAAAAGCACTACATCCATAAAACAGGGTAAACACATATCTATTCTTTTTTTCTTTTTTAAGCAAAAACGTAACAGACGGGGGTTGAATGGTTTTCAAACTGGAGGAAAATCGTGCATTTCTTAAAGACTATTTTCAGCCTCTGATTTGGCGAATGTGAGCATTACAGCAGAGTAAATAAATAAATGGAGCTCTGTGGCACCGAAAACAAAGAGACACTGTGCAAAGCTACAGAAACACAGGCAATTATTTTCAATTTTGAAGGTTTTGATCTTTTTATTTATTTATTTATTTGTAAACAATGAGAGAAATGTAAAACTTTAACAGAGTTTAAGTAACTTCAAGGACCTAAAGTATTTAAATTTTTACAACAGGTTCAGTATGTAGCCCATTTAGGACATATGGTAGTGGAACACCAACTACAGCATGTATTCAAAATCAACCCTACAGACTTAAAAAAGACACAGATCTCGGCATTGCACGATGGATTATGTTTGCAAAGTTTCATCTGAAGAAACCACAAGACCTCTCGAGAAATGCCCTTCGGACAGATGAGAGGTGATTGGCCACACCGTACAGCATCACATTTGGAGAAAATGGGTCATTCGACAGCACGAGGACCCCAGGATCCCAGGCACAGCAGCAAATCACCTTGATGTGTTTCTTTTTAAGAATGGCTGAAAAAGAAAGAAATCAAGGTGTTGCAATGGCCCAGTCAGTCCAGACCTCAGCTCAATTAAAATGCTGTGGAAGGAAAGCAAACGACAATGAACTGAAGAAGAGTGGGCTAAACTTTCTTCACAGTGTTGTGAGAGAAAACAACTACTTCAGTTAAAGGTGGGACCACAAACTACTGAGTCATGGGGTGTACTTAGTTTTATTTGCATAGCAATTAATGCTATGCAAATGTAATTTGTACATCTTATTAACAGATAATAAATTAATTGTAACAATACCAGGTGAGTCTTAATGTTTAATCTTCAATTCTAACTCTATCAGTATTATTTCGATCTGTAAATTTGTCATTATTATGATTTTGTTTGAAATTTTTCAGACTTCTTTTTCAGCCTCACAAACAGATCTGATGCAGCTGCCCTCGTGAGTATAATACGCTCTGCGAGAGGAATCTTTTGAATGCACAGTCTAAATAAAACATCAGATACACACCATTAAAAGGACTGAACTGAATACTTCTTAATCTGCCACACATTTTATGCCTCTCACCTTTCTAAATGATTCAGTTGCCTGGAAGGCAAAGAGTGAGGCTGTGCTGAACATTTCTGTGGCACTTAAAAAGAAGCCTGAATAGTGTTGTCAGCTGCATTCTCAAACCTGACTCCTTTGTCCAATTTGGATTCACAATAACTGAGCAGCCAATGCTAATACTCCCAGAGGGACGCTGGTGAGGAATGAATGCTTTAAACCCAGCCTGTTGCAGAAAAAAATAAGGGGGCAGAGAGAGAGAGAAAAGAAAACAAAAGATGAAGAAGAACATAACTTGAAAAGAACGATCTCTTCTTTCCTCTAACTTTTGGAAAAAGCCAACACTGTCATGACGTAATCCACTCCAACACAATGTTCCAGCTTTCTCCCAAGTTCCTGAAACTTTCACTCTTAATAATGTCGGTGAGACACCAGCTCAAAGTGGCACATATCAGTGGCAGGATAGAGGCAAAGGAGTCTTAACTAAGTGTCATGGAGGGCTTGATAAAAGGAGCAAATCCATTTTGAGCAGCTTTTTCCCGCTGAGCCGGGGGCGGTTGATTTGATAGAAGCTGCCGTGTAAAAGCACTACTCTTTTCTCCAGCCCGCTAATTGGGACGGTTACCATTCTTCCCCTTGTCTCACCCACCCTTTCATCCCTTCTCTGCTGGCGTTCGCCTTGTTTTGCCTTCTTGTACCTCTTCAAGTGGGAAAACAGTTTGTGAATCTCGCCTGTGAGAAGCAGGTAAAAATATCTCAGATGAAAAAATGAGAGATGCTGCACTCGGTTGTCCTTTTCCCAACTGTAAGCAGGAGGAAACACACCTGACCTCCTGATACCTTTCTAAAAGTTTTAAAAGGAGTTAAGCAAAAATATCAGCGTCGGATAATGTACAAGGCTAAGTGTAAAAAAAACAGAAGTGCCATCACCCCAATTCAAACAAAGCAGGTGAACGAAGCAGATAGATTTACTATATTACCAATAAATACATAAAACTGATATTTATTCTCCCTGTGAGAAACCAGTTGTGTCAGTGTTAAAGCCACTTTCTGCATGGTGTAAATGCAAACAAGCTACTACTTTATCGTTAGTTTTTTCCCAGAAACACACTGAGAAGAGCTGCACCACATTCCAGCACTGACCTCACCCACTTGAGACAATACTTTCAGTTCCAGACGTGCCCCAGAAGTGACCGTCTGCTCCGTATCTCTTAAAATAGTGGATAATCTACTCATTCATTCATTTATTTATTTAACTGGAAGCTGTTTAAAGCTGCACAGGGCAGATGAGGAGACAGGAAGTCAGAGACATCAGGAACCGAATGGAAAATTCAGTCAATTTTCAAAATAAAAGACCTCATACAGACTGAAGTCTCTGATTCTAAAACACTCGATGGAAGGACAAAACACGGACACCCAGTATGAGTGCATGACTCGAGTTACATTAACAGTTGCACACCCTATTGTAGACCTTTTGTTAGGTTTTGTATTGTTGATTGTCATTTATGCTCAGAAATATTTAACCATATATGCTTAGAGGTGTATAATCAATTGTGTAGTGATAGGATGTGTGATCTTTAGCAGGCTGCAAAGGCTTGGTGTGCATTGCACACCTACATCCTGGGAGCATGGGAAGAGGTCGTACCTTGTTTTATTGTTTTATGGTAGGATAAACGTGGCTATATCTGTTTTAGGCTAAGTGCCTTTTGTTTAGATGAACTGTTGGACTTCCAGACCAGCAGGTTTAGGGAAGTCATTTATGGGGTCACACTCTGACCCCACACACACACACACACACACACACACACACACACACACACACACACACACACACACACACACACACACACACCAGGCAAGGTACTCTTTGTGTTGTATGTAGACGTCTATGTTAATGAACCTATGCATATTCATGTAACCTCAATAAAAGAGCAGTGTTACGGGGGAGCGGACGAGAGCAACTGGGGTCAAGCGAAGGAACGGCGTTTGTCCGGTTCTCTCCCGTGCACGAGAAACATGAAGAACTTTGCCTACTTCGTGTCTTGCTTGCGGTGTAATTATATTGTCTTCAACGTTCCAGCGAATAGGTTCAAGCTACAAACCTATCACCTTTTTACCCCCAACTTTATAGATCCTTAAAAACATATAATATATGCTTGAAGATGTGGCTCTGTGGAACAGTGGACTGAACCCAGCTGCAATGTATTCCAGTTCTTGTGTGAAAGCTATATTTGAAAAAAATAATTAATTTATTCATTAAAGAATCTCTGAAACACAGCCGGGATCTATTTTTCTGGCTTAGCATGGTGGTAGAAACTAAATCTTAATCCTGAAAACAATGTACAGGATTGGAACTACTTGCTGGAACTACATTTCACTCAAGAAATAATCCCTTAAAAATTGTGCAGAGTATAGACTATGACGACTGAATGCCCTCCTCCCAGTTTCAATCCCCATTTATTCTCTGTCTACAATATTCTTTGTAAAACATGTGCTCAGAGGTGTGGATACTAAAAATGGCTTCCTTTTGCTTCTGAGTTGCAGCATATGAATAAAGCTATCGTGATCTCACTTACACCTCACCGATTTTCATGTGAGAAAAGTGCTAAATGTGCAGGTTTGAGTGCGAGATGAACAAAATTTGGCTGAGAAACATTCTCTCACTTTTATTAGTTAATGCTTCAGAAAATGTTTTTTTGCTCTTATTGAGCTGGTTGGGTAACCATTCAGAAGTAAACAAGGTCTTTAAAAATGTGGCCGACTTCCAACATGGCACCAGTCATCGCTGCACCCTCATTCACAAGCGAATTTTGTTCTATGTGAAAAACGAATTTGCTTCTTTCCAAGGTTTATGTTGGATTTTTAAAACCACTTTCATTCAAACTGAATCAAATCATGAACTCTGGATTGATTAATTGAGCTTTCTGGTCAGAGGTAGGCCAATCAGCTCTGAGTAAAGTGCATGAAATAAAGCCACAATCAATGAAACCTCATCCCCAACCTCCTGTAGCAGATGGCTGCTGTTTCTGAGCCTGGTTCTGCCGAAGGTTTCTTTCCTGTAAAAAGTGAGTTTTTCTTTCCCACTGTCACCAAGTCATAGGGGGTTGTTTGATCTTTGAGTTTTCTCTGTGTCATTAGAGTGTTTTACCTTACAAAATAAAGTGTGATTTGGTGATATATAATTAAAATTGAACTGAAACCATAGCAACGGGTAAATTAACAGAAATGTGAGTGTCTACCATATTTCTCTTAAAAGAAAATAATAACAAAAGAAAAAAAGAGTTTTTTTACATAACAGAACAGTTTACATTTAATCTTTAAATCTAATCATTATTATTTTTATAATAACTGTTTTTTTTCACTAATTATTATAATTATTGCCAAGAGCAAAGTACAGGTGACAAGACAAAATAAAAATATGGATACAGTGACAACACAGTTTATTTATGGACCTACTCATAATCATATACAGCAAATGATTTGGAGGGTCCATTGACCATAAGCTGAAATCCTACTATCCACATGAGTGAGAAAACCATCAAAAAGCACTGGTACATGCTGTGCAACACGGTTCTCAAAGTGGCCATTAGAGCAGGGGCTTACTTCAGAGAAGGGAAACCTTAGATCATTTTTCTGCTTTCTGCTTACTTCCTATTTTTGGAGTCTGAGTGAAGCCACCGGGGCACCCAAACTCTGATTCTGCAGCTCTGGCACAATCCTCCTCATGTTTTATACATATGTCCTGAGGATGAAGCTCTTCATACTCAGACAAACACAACAGCGGTAGCTGTGGGTGTGGAGAGGAAGCTTTTATGGCTGTTTGCTTGAAAAAATAATGAAATGCTTGTCCTTTAGCGCTCGTGGAAAATCATGGAAACGATTCACCTATTTATCTAATGAAACTTTCCATATTGCAGAGAAAGCCTGAACCGATGTCAGCCATGGCACGAGGCCGCTGCTTTGTTATTGCTGGTCCACGATGGCTTGGTGGGAGAGAAAACCACAGCCATCAAAGCCTTACCACAGGGAGGAAAATAATGATCCTCCAGTACTTTCAACCGAAGTGCAGCCACGGACGGACAGAGTTTTTACCTCCTCTTTGGTTATAGTCGAGCAACTATAAGTAAGCTGATTATGATCTGATGAACCAAAAACTTTACAGAAGGCACACAAACAACTGCTTTGCCTTGAATTTGTTTTCTTGGCAGCCAAGAAATACATCATCTGCCAGTTATCTGGATAATCCTTGAAACCTTTAAGGGTATTAGAATCATGAGGAAAAAAATCAAAACAAGACCTTGCGTAGCTAACATGTTGTCATAAATAAACCGAGTAAATTTCAAATTATTGCTGGCAGGCTCTTGTGACTCAAATCCCTGCTTCTCTCTCACGCACAAAGAACACTCACTACGTGACGTTCCTGCAACAGGCAAGTAGTCAGTGATGGATTTGTGCAAGAAAACAAACATGACTTCAAACCAAAGTAAACAGCTCAGTCAATATATATTCACCAGCCACTTTATTAGGTACACATGTCGAACTGCTCGTTAATACAAATATTGGCCAATCACATGGCAGCTACTGTTTGCACTGATCTAGACATGGTCACAATGACATCATGAACTGAGCAAACTAAGCATCCGATTGTGTGTGTGTGTGTGTGTGGGGGGTGAATGTGACATTGTTATTGGTGCCACGTAGGCAGAAACAGCTGACTTACTGCTGATCCTACACAAGCACCTCTGACGTTCACAGACGATGTTCCTGAGAAGTGAAAAGCAGTGACCTCTCTGCATGAGGTATAATCAGAATCAAAACACTATCAATCCAGCAGGGGAAATTGTTTTTAATTATCGACACACAATTAAAAAATTATAAATATGAAAGAAAATGTAAATGCTGCACCGGTCCGTTGTGGTGAAGAGAGAGCTGAGCGTAAAAGCGAAGCTCTCAGTTTACCGGTCAATCTACATTCCTACCCTCACCTATGGCCACGAGCTGTGGGTAGTGACCGAAAGAACGAGATCGCGAATACAAGCGGCGGAAATGAGCTTCCTCCGAAGGGTGGCTGGCCTCTCCCTTAGAGATAGGGTGAGAAGTTCAGCTATCCGGGAGGGGCTCAGAGTAGAGCCGCCTCCACATCGAAAGGAGCCAGTTGAGGTGGTTCGGGCATCTGACAAGGATGCCTCCTGGGCGCCTCCTGGGTAGAGCATGTCCCACCGGGAGGAGGCCCCAGGGCAGACCCAGGACATGCTGGAGAAATTATATCTCTCGGCTGGCCTGGGAACGGCTTGGTGTGACCCGGCCCCGGATAAAGCGGAAGAAGATGGATGGATGTAAACTTTCTCTACTAAAACATAAGTAAAACAAAGACGCTAAAAGCTCCACACCCACAGCATGACTGACCTTGTGGGTAAGTTTATTGAGTCTGCTGGTACCTGCTGCCTCAGCACACCACAGTACAGATGATGGCACAGGCTACCACAGGCTCATACAACACTGTGAGCATCATCGGGGAGATATTAAACGAGCTCTGTCGTCTCAGAAGTTGATAAGTTTTTGGAGAGCACTTCTGTGTTTTTAATGAAGTTTATTTTACTGTCATTGTGAACAACCAAGACACCTGTAATCTTCCACTGTCTCCACCCAGACCCCATAAATGCAAACAGGAGTAAGCGGTGTTCTCATCCACATACAGTTTGCCCAAGTTAAGCTGCAGATGCTTTTGCCTGCATCACATAACAAAGTTACCCACCACAGCCTGATACAGCCCACTGTGGCTGAGTTATCAGAAAACTTTTGAAGGTGTCAGGCCTCAATGCAGGAGTTAAAGTCCATGGTGTAAAAGGGGAAGATGAGGGAGAGGGGACAGTGCCCCGCAGGGATCCCGTATCGCTTACTACACTTACTGTCCGACACACAGTGCTGCAGGCGCACATACTGTGGTCTGCCAGTCACTTAGCAAACTATCCAGGTCACTAGGGAGGCATCCACCTGCATCACTGTCAATCTATCACCAGTAGAGCTGGCCTGAAAGCACTGGAGAAGTTCAAAAAACATGATTCCCACAGTGCACGTCAGCTTGTCCAGGTGGGTGTAGACATGGCTGAGCAGGTAGAGAATGGCTGGGAGGCAAACTGGAGAGTGGCGGACATTGTCCTGACACTTTGGGCTCCTTAGAACCAACTGAGCATTGTTCGAGTCTACAGCCTCCCTGATTATTGTCACTCCTTTATGAGCACAGTGTAATCATTTTCTGATAACAGGTCACGTCACAAAGCTGAAACCATCTCAAACTTGGCTTCTTGAACATGACAGTGAGTTCACTGTACTCTCATGGCCTCCACAGTCACCAGACCTCAATCAAATAGAGCAGCACTTGGATGTGGTGGAACAAGAGATCATGGATGTGAAGTCAACACATGTGCAGCAACTGTGTGATGCTATCGTGTCAATCTTAGAGGAATGTTTTCAGCGCATCTTTGAATTTGAACTATGAAGAGTTAAGGCGCAGTATTAGCAAGGTGTATGTGGCCAGTGAGTACATGTAGTGCATGTAGAGCAGTATTTTCAAAGTAAGCTTTAAAACATCACAGCTGCAAAGGAAATACTGCACTGACATTTACATTTGAGGCACCAGAAACAAAATTCAGATTTCAATGATTACCTTTGGGACAATATTCTCTAGTTGGCTCCTTCGTGTCTCTAAATGAAGGCAGATTAAATATAAATTCATTCTAAAGTTTTGCTAGTAAGAGTTACCTGAAAATCCTGGAGTATAATATTACTGAATAGCACTCATTTCCCCATGTGGGATTATTTTCTATAGTGACCTAAAAATTCAAAGCATCATCTGAAGATAACAGAGACCATCTATTGGATATCAGGAGACGCTCTGCTTTTCTTCAACAACAACCTTGTGCAGCCCGTTGCCTCTCTGCTAATGGAGTCAGAAGCACGCCATGTACTACTTCTCCCCCAGCTACGCATTCAAACGCAGCTTTAAATAGACTGTGCCAGACACCCGGCACTTGAACCCACTGTCTTATATAACACAAAAACTGGTTCAGACGTGATTCACCAATCAAGGACCCTGGCAAAGACTAGATTGTTTTTGTCTTTGAAAAATACTGTCAGACACAAGCATTCCTGTCTGGGTGTGACGAAAACAGGCAACAACAGCACTGCCGATATATTTCTGCAGGATGGAAAAACAGGTCAATCAGGGACTTTTAGATGAATTTGACATTCCTTGTAACAGTTTTCTTCTCTATGCAACAGATACATTTGCTTACTTCCCTAAAGGGCTAGTTTCACATTTAGGGGCATAGTGTAAGATGGTTCTTACAGGGTTAGATGGCAGGCTGGATATAGAGGTGAAAGAAGCAACTCAGGAAGCTACGAGCTTAAAAAACGTCCATTGTAAGTGTTGACATGCACAGTCTCTTCATTTTAGGCAGAGCCAGTCTTGTCATTTATGCCATGCAAAGCTATTTTTTTAAGCATAAAGTTGGGTAAACATTTACTGAGGAGAAAGTCAAGAGTGGCTTTTTGTATAGCGTTAAATCAACATGATATGCTTCTTGGCCAATAACGTGTCAGATAAATAACAAACTAATCCAAGGAGGTCAGTGTCAGCGCTCTTCTGTGACTGAACCCACCTCGACAAGGGTGAAGAACAATCGCAGCGATGGCGAGTCGGGCAGAAGGGAAACATAGACGTGTTATAAAAAAAGAAGGAAGAGTGCGAGGCTGCGGCTGTGCACATTGTACAGACAGTTGACTGTTTCACAACCCTCCCACGGAGAGTGTGCTGAACGGCAGCCTCGCTTTGATCACCTCTCTAGATTAACTGACAGTGTGTATAAGTGTGTGTGTTACACATATGGTGTTCTTGTGTTTGTTGGTACAGAGCTGCAGAAGACTCTGAGCATTTAACAAAAACTCCCTGAGGTGATATGAAGGAAATATATGAACTTCTCACTGTGTCAAATCTGTGGATACACGGAAAACATACAAGACGGTCAAATGTGGGAGGACCCACCATCATCAGCTGAGGCTTCACTGCTGTAGCCATCATAATCAGCAGTAAGCGGGCTGTACTTCTGCCGGCTCTCCCAGCTGAATCCTCCAGTGTGCTTGGCATTAGAGGACACCTTGGCTCCTCCTCTGAGGCCCTGAGAGCGGCTGACTGCTTCCTGATACTGACCCATCAGTTCATCCTCGCTGTCTGACGATGAAGCCTGCAAGTCAGCGTCGGAGTAGACCTTATCTGTTTGGGGATAGAGGACAATACAGTCAGTTCCATAATCATTTCCCTCCACACTGTCTTATATATCACAAAAACTGTTTCAGACATGATTCGACACACACAGTGGGTATTAAATTAAAACAAAAACAATCATGGTGTGATTGAACTGAAGACTTTTAGCATTAATTTGAGGTATTTTTAGGAATTTGCTGGCTCTATCTGAGGAAGTTTTATACACAGTCACACATTTTGAGGGGCTTAAAAGAAACTTGACTACTGACTGACTGTTTTATGGCCATGTGAGGCCCGTTACCTCGTTACAGAAATAAAAATTATGTTGATAAAAGATCTGGAACTACCTGTCTCCTGGAGCTCTCAATATGAGACCCAAAGAGATGTCCATACAAGTGAGGGAGGCCATTAATCATTCAATTGAAAAAAACAAAACGAAAACAAAGAACCTTTAGAAGTGACCAAATCAACAAACTAGTACATTTTTTTTAAAAATAAAAGGAAGCATTCACTGGAAGAGCTGAAAAAAACCACAGAAGATGACAAAAGTGGGTGATGACAGGCTCAAAAGGTTGAAGGACATCGTGAAGGATTTGAATGTAGCTGAATGAAGGTCCATGAAGTTCATAATTTGCAAAATGAACATTGCACTGTATTTAATAAGGCTTTAAACAAGAGATTAAGTCTATAAGCTCATCAGGTCGAGTGTTTGATACATTTATTAGACCGCCTGTCATAAAAGCAAGAAAACACAAGTTATTTAAAAAGCTGTTTAAAATAAAAATGATATTTATCAGGTAAAAAACAAAGTGAATTCTTGTTTTAACACCCAAATCTGAGCAGACAACCACCAAAAGTAATTTTTCTGTTCAAGAAAGCAAATAAATGATGGAAAATCTGGCATCTTAATCAAAAACTAATAATGTGCATTACTTTGTTTTTCTGCTGTTTCTAAAAGAGTAAACTTGAAAATGTTTGGATAACAACAATACTTATATTTTAGCATGAAAGAATATGATTAAAGAGCTTGCACACACTGGTGGAGTAGCCATTACAAAAACATAAAATTGATTTTGAGAATCACCAATACTGTTAATTTAGAACATCTGAGGATTAAACCTCACACTGGGTGATGGTCTAATAGGTTTTGTAAGCACTACATGCTTGCTGATCTGATGGGATGTCCTTCCATAGACAGCATTTTGAAACCAGAGGAGATGCCCCCTGCTGGCTATTAGATGGAATTCAGGTTTAAGACAATTTTACTTTGGCTTCACTTTAAGAAGCATCTTTTTATATATAAAAATAAACACTGTATGGGTGGACACAACAGATAAAATCAATGAGGGAAAAAAATCATTGCACTGGTTCTGGCAGCTGTAGCTTATTGGATCATTCTGAACAGAAAGCTCGTGATCGCTCAGAAAAGCCTTTGATAAGTCACTGCAGTGAAAACAGAAGAGCCCTGTGATTAAAAAGGAACATCTGCACCCTCATCCTGCGATATTACTCTCTCCTTTTGGTTTCTCCTCCACCAAATTACCTCCATCACACATCCAGCGTGATGTAGTGACTGAATTCAGAGAAATTTACAAGATGTTTAAAATTCTGCTTGTGTTTTCAGTCTGTGTGTCATTTACTCTGATGTCATATACTCTTATGGGTTTTCTTGTTTATCTTGCCAAGTGGTTCTACAACATTTCTACTGGAATTATCACTCAATGCGACTCTTTCTTCATCACATATTAAATTTAAATCTCTTCTAAATTCAATAGCATTTATGGACTAAAGCATCCTTTAAACGAGTCATAAATCTGTCAAATGCATAAACTCATTTAGTTCGGTTAACTGATGGTTAGCCAAATCTGCTCACCTGCTTTGGTTGTATCAATCCAGCAACAATCATGCAACTTTCAATTAATGCCTTTTGAGTCACAACAAAAACAATGCTTTCATCAATGCTTTTAAAAAAGAGCTTCCAAATGTATTTATTAGCTGTGCCGTGACAGACTGGCAGCCTGGCCAACGGCAGATGAGATATTCTCCAGGTGTTCTCCTACGCGCCAAAATGAGATTTTTGTTGTTTTAAAAGCTGAACAGGTGACACGTTTTGAAACTACGACAAAGGTTGAAAAGAAACTGGATAGATTTGTAACAGGTGTGTTTTACAAAAGCTAATGGACGTGATCTGAACACAAAAGCACAAATTGCCAGAGCCAATTTGCCTTCCACTGCAGGAAGGCGAGGGCGTCTCAATAAAAGCTGCTGCGTTTTCACAATACCATTTAAGAGACCCTTAAACAGGCAAACGTGTGATTCCACACGGAGGACAGATTGAGATTGAGTGAACCAAGACTTTCAATAGTCTAAACTTTGAACGTGTGCAGCAACCTGAAGTCACAGTGGAGGCTGTTTAAACAGTAATGAAGATTATTTCCAATAATGAAGCTGCCATGGTGCTCTGTGCACAGTTGTTACACAGCTGACAACTATTCATGGAAAAGATAAAAGACTTTTTTTAAAATCTTTGCCATCCTTAAATATTCAAACTCTAAGTCAGGCCTCGAGGGCCGGTGTCCTGCAGGTTTCAGATGTGTCCTTGATCCAACACAGCTCATTTAAATGGCCAAATTACCTTCTCAACATGTCTTGAAGTTCTCCAAAGGTCTGATAATGACCTAATCATTTGATTTAGGTGTGATATCTAAAGCCTGCAGGACACCGGCCCTTGAGGCCTGGAGTTGGACATCCCTGCTCTAAGTGGTCACTTAAAGACTATAGTTAGTTACACGTCCTCTCAATTAGAAGAAGGTATTTCTCAATGTGATGCAGATGCTCAGTGAGGGGAAAATTAAAATTAGGGAAAGAAACACAATAAAGCAGAGAATAAAAATGTAGCTGATCAGAGCAGTAAGCGAAGTCAGGAAGCTAGTTTTCTCTCACTGTAGCTTTGTATTTTTTCCAGCAGGAGGCAGCACAGCTTTTAAAATAACCCAATCCGTGGTTGCTCTGCAAACCTTCCCACTAACTCAACATACATTCCCACTTACAACATGCAGTCTCCAATACATACATCTTTAACAAACAGAATCAGGAAACTGTAAACTGTTTTTTCAACAGACCGGTAACAATTCGAACTCAAATATTTGTCTCATGTGTCTGTCAAAACAGCCACTGTTCCAAATCTGTCCACACAGAAGGTCATTGAGATTAGACACTTTGCTGCGTTACACTGCCTCCCTTTGTTTTCTGCAGATGGCTTCTCTGAGTCGAGCAAACTCCCTGTGTGGGCTCCCGGGGGGCACCAACCTTTTAAACCTTTGAAGCCCCCGTGGGCAGATGACAAGTAAACAGTCCTACAGCTGTCAGTAACAGTAATCCCGGCATGGGCTGAGAAAGGCCAGTGTCAGTGGAAAATGCCTCCATGCAGAGGCCGGGCCTCGTGCTGAGATCAAAGGCACTAAAGAAAATCAGATGTGAAAGAAAGACAACCGAATGTGCTTTCATTTTAAATTTATGCATGCTCACCTTGCAGCTCAGTGGTTTTCCTGAATTCATCAAGGCACTGAAGGCTTCCTGGGTTCTCTAGTGCCAACTTATTGTTGAGGTACCAAAACAGGAAAGTCATGAGGATGATGAAGAGTCCGATGGCTGTCAGAAACCCCAGCACCTCTGGAGAGACTAGAAAACAAATACGCATTTTTAAATATCAAAACGTGACTACTTAAGCTGTTTTTAGCCTTAAATCTAATGTAAATGGTAAATGGTCTGTATTTATATAGCGCTTTACTAGTCCCTAAGGACCCCAAAGCGCTTTACACAACCAGTCATCCACCCATTCACACACACATTCACACACTGGTGATGGCAAGCTACAGGTAGCCACAGCCACCCTGGGGCGCATTGACAGAGGCGAGGCTGCCGGACACTGGCGCCACCGGGCCCTCTGACCACCACCAGTAGGCAACGGGTGAAGTGTCTTGCCCAAGGACACAACGACCGAGACTGTCCAAGCCGGGGCTTGAACCGGCAACCTTCCGACTACAAGGCAAACTCCCAACTCTTGAGCCACGATCAATGTAGTAGGTTGTCATGTTGTAAGAAATGGTAATAATGGTAATAATTTATTCACACCCGCTTTCACTTTTTCTGAGCTAAAAAAAAATATTCAGAAGAAGTGACAGTTAAGTGAAACCTGGGTCCAGGCCAGAAACAACACAACTATCCTCTAATGCTAACAGGACATCACCTCTTTGCAAAACATCTGCAAAATCAGCAGGTGAACACAAAGCCAGCAGCAAAGAATGTAGAGTGATGTTACAGATGAATGTATGAGCCAAATATTTAACAGGGAACAGAATAAGTGCCAAAAAAAGCAGTCCAACTTCAACTCTCAATTTCTATCTGTATCTATTTCTACAATAAAATCGACGTGACATCTGACTTTTTACTTTTCTACACTGACAGAGTTTTTCACGTGTTTCAAAATAAGGAATCCTGTCAGTGTGTAGGACTAAGAGACTGAAGTTAGCCTAAGATTAATCTTTATGCTTTTCACTCATAATTATAAAACATTTCAGGTCCTCTTGGTGAGTAGAGAAAAAAAACATAATAAATCATTTTTAGATCAGTTATTAAGTAACGTGTGATATATGTTACTTTTTTGAAAACGACCACAAATTACATTAACCAGTTGTTAAAAATAAAAACAAATGACTAATGTCCACATTCACAAACATCTTAGTTGTACAGTTAGAACACATCTTGGCTCCAGCTGAAACCTTCGCTGGGTACAATGCAGAAAAAACATCTGTACTGTGTCAGTATTTAGCATCTGACAAAAAAACACTTCTACAAACAATGCAGATGAGAGACACAGAGGCAAAGAAACCGGAGTGAAGGAGACACTCAGAGGGGTTGTGTCACTGTAGAAACGCAACCTGTTGGTTGCCATAGTGACAGGTTCAGGTGCAGCATCACACGGACCCCCAGACGCACGGGCGAGTCAGATCTCATTAAAGGCAGAACTGAGTGCCGCACATCAGGAGATCCAGTTAGGTCTGGACACAAACATCATTAGCAAGGCTTTGTTACGCCAGAATGAACCGGCCCAGGTGATACATGTATCCTGACTGCACTGGTGACAATATAAATGCATGACCTTCAGCTACATGTATGACCTTATGGCATCAGGATGGAGGTGCAACGCCTTCACAGACGGTTAAACGTCAGGATGCTTTTCTATTCTCTCCATCAGTGGCATCAAAGTGATCAAATAAGCCTATCATCTTTGTCCTAAACCACTTTTTTACTGTGCTTACATTAAACTAATGAAGGCTGATTGTCAGATTTAGCTGCAATCAGCCTTCAGAGACCTGCTGTCACCACCTGCAGCCAGTTCAGAAGATTTTTTTTAGCATTTCACTGAGGACAACTCATCTGTAACCAGAGGGTTCACTTCACTTGTTGGACTGTCTGGCTGAAGTGAGTGGTTATAACTGTTAAATATAAAAACACGGACAATACAAGGATGGAAACCTCCATGCAACAAAATAGGTGGTTGACCAGTGAATGTGTTGAATTTTGTTTGCATTCAACAACCAACTGCATGTAGTTGCAGCAACCCAGTCATCCAGATGTTGAGCGTAAAACAGTCGTTCAATCACAAGGCAATTGCACAGACAAATGCATTTACATTGCCAACATGTTGCGAGCGCAACTCATGTGCCACAGGGCAATAGGGGACTCAGCTCAACTGACAGCTGTCGTATTCTGGTTATTCTGGTAATTGTGTCACTAATTTTGGAGGGTTTACAGAATTTATGCTTCAAACCTACGAGGTGCTGGGTGAACTCTAAATTCACCTAGCTGACAACACAAGCTCTGAGAAACAGCATGGTTGTAGCACAGTCTAAAAAGTGAAGTATTTGGTAAGTGTATATTTTTTAGATATGGTTTAAAATGCCAACTTCTGTTTGGCAACTCTGGCAACAAATCCACCCCTGACCATTTTCTCCTCCTCATTTTGTTGCTCATCCTCTGTTTAGTCATCTAAAGGGGGAAAAAAATGGAACTTTTAAAGGTTTTGATGATAAAGAGCCCTTTTAAAGGTGTCTGGATCCAGATCAACTTCAAAGGTTAGTCAGTTCTAAGCAGGGCCGAGCCAGATTTCTATTGAAATGTTTATGAAACACAGTTTTGAATAATCCTGTTAACAAGCTAAACTAATCCCAAAATCTCGCTGAAGTCAAAATTTAAAATGAGGGACAATTTCTACTTTTTCCCCAGCATAATGAGAAACATTCAGAATTGTCTCAGCTATGATGCCTGATAGATCAACCATCTTAGTGACACAACAGACTGCAGCCGTGCTAATCAGAAGTGCTATTAGACAATAAACACTACAATGGAAGTAAAGCGCCTATTAAAGCCAATAAAGGCACTCATTAAAGCCATTTTTAATAAGTATGACGCATGTTCTTACAGAATGATTATGTCTTACACTACAGAGCTTTGCAAAAAGGCTGCTGGTTGTGGTGAACAGATCAATGGATGATAAAACCAGCAGATTCAGTGTGGTGTCTAATGGAATCAAATGTTTCCTCAGTGCTGCAGAATTGCTTTGCATTCAGAACATGTGGGGACGAACAGGGGATTTTACCTCTGAAAGCTGTTCGCTCAAACACTTTCATACACAGAGAAAGTTTGTGACAGAAAGAAAACTTTAGCAGCAGTCTGTATGCTTTCTGTCATCCACCTGAATACTGGTGAGCATACAGAGTGGTGCACAGTGGTGATGGTGAGAAGAATTTAGATCCCAGGATGCAGTGAATGAGAAATAAATGTTCAACCTTCTTTCCAAAACTTGAAAGGGTTTAACATGCTACACCTACACCTGGCTCCTGTTTCACATTATGCAACCAATGGCATCGTTACTTATAGATGTATAAAAGATGGATCCAGCTGCTGTGGTAGGATCCATCTGTTTTTGAATGTCATTAAGAAGCTTCAGGATGAGCATTTTCACTGGTTCCATTTTGGTGCTTTAAAACCAAAGGTGACTGGTGGGTTGTAAATTTTACTGTGAACCCACAACCTGTAACATATCCTAGATAATCCTAGTGATATGTATAATGCACATACACATAAACACATAAAATGAACTTAACATGTTTGATATGATCAGAATGGAGTGACCGAGCCCATCAAATCATCAATAAAACAGTTCCCATATTCTTCTATAGCATCAGAACCCGTGTTTGCAACCTCAGTCATCGCCCCCTGGTGGTCGTTATAAAGAATGCAGATTTAAGGCCATTTTGCGTCAACTTGACTTCAGATCTAAAAGCTACATCTATCATCTACATCATCATTCAAATACAGATCAAGGAGGTCCATTTAGAGAACATTTCCTCAAACAAAAGTCCAAAATGTAAAAGTCAGCATGTATTAAAATTCAATGCAATAAACTTTGATACAACTATTAGGCTACTTTAGTGTCTTTTCTCCGTTTCCCTGACTTGTTTCTTTGGTTGCCTCTATATTAGTTACAATGCATGCAACTAGCTTGTATTTCCTGTGTACAAACACTGACTACTGTAAAAACAAAAGAAAATGCTGATTAAAATAACTAAACTGTAATTGCGGGAAAAGTTGTGCAGAGTAAAATAAAAAATGCAGCACTAGGTCTGGGTCTGTAAAGAACAGTCCACCTATTTTTTTTCAATGTATGTGGATACACATCTTTCACCAGTCATACATAATAATTTATTTGACCCAAAGAATCATGGGTGTACTGACATACGCCCAAGAATGATGGGGTGGCAGAGGTACTCAGCAGCAGCCAATACGTAAAAGAATAAACGTCTGAGAAGCACTTGCTTTACAATATTTCATGCACAGTCACAAAAGTGGAGAGATGGAACAGGTTTTCAAGTGCAATGGGAGACTTTAGATTATTGCTGAGCTCATTTACCATGATGAATGCAGCTCTACATGTAAAAGTCCATTTTGTTCAATTAAACCAAGCTGCTGCCTTTCTTACAAATGGGAGATAATGAGCCCATCTGGCAAGAAAGTACTTAGAAGACGTGTTTCTCCATTAGTGGCAATGATGACTGGTTCTCTGTTTTTAATTCCAATATAATGGCTGTAACAATTAACTGGTTTTAGCCATTAGTGGCACCAAGAGGAAAGAACTTGCACTGGTTTCAGTCTATTGTGTGTTTGTCAAGATTGAATAAAACCAGGTTCATTCCAGGTTTGAAGGAAAAATACATCTGTTCTTTTAAAGGGGAACTATTACGCTTGTCCTTACTTTTGTAATATTTTACACTGATCAGAGTTTCTGCCAGGAAGTTGTTAACCCCAGTGGCTTTGACAAGCAAAATTAATAATGTGCTTTAACACTAACTGATAGGTGCATCTCCTCAGACGCAGCGACAGGCAGTGGGGTTTATTTCCCATTTTACGGCCTACACCAGTGACAGAACTCTGCATCAACTTAACATCATTCCTACAGCCAAGAATGAGCTGGTCGATCGTATTTTGTCATCACTGGGAATCATCTTACCAGGTAAAACAAATCTTTTTACCAATTTTAAGGTTTTTTTTTAGTTTTTTCAAGCTGGTGTTTATTTCCATCTTAGACAGGTGGTGGTGTTCATATTAAAGAGGGCCAA